CAGTTGAGGGCTTATGGGTTTAGTTCTGGTGCTTATGGTTGGATTCCGAGTCCAAACTTCACTCGAATGTATTTTCCTCACTGCCCTTGGCAATAGCCATAATGTGACACGTTACCATCAAATTTTTGTTTTTAAGCAAAAGCTAAGAATTGAGCAGCCCTACTGTCAAATGGCAGAAATTTCCTTTTTTGGAAATTTATCACACTTGTCACACTGTCTAAGTCTGTAAACCAGGGACCCAACTAGCCTAAGTTCTTTAAATTATCTATTATTTTTTCTGTATGAAATAATCTTGTATTCCAGCTTCTAAGTAATCCCGTGTAATCCCTTTGTGATGATATGATATCATATACTAATGTTGGTGTCCAAGGCCGAAGTTACCTTGCACTTCCAGCCTGGGATTTATACACTTTATAGCAGTTTTATTGAAGTATTTATCACAGCATAGGGGTTTCAGAGCCATCCTCTCTAATTAGAATGACCAGTGGGGGGTAATGGTCATTCTAATTAGAGAGGATATGTGGAATCCACAGGTGGCTTGATCAGATCAAGTGCCGGCATCAGGGTTTCCCCTGACATGATCACGACATAGGCCCTGGCCCATATAGGCTGAGCTCTCTGGTTGAGCCTTCTAATGTGAAGGGATAATTAGTGATCCATGCTTTTATCCCATAATCCTTGAGTATGATCGTAAGCGATAAAAACACCAGGGGCTTAGTGGGTCCTATCTGAGTCAATCTAATGTGCCGGATGGGGCCAGTATGGCTGGAGCCTGGCATACAGGGGCAGGGGCCATAGCTATCTTTTGCATTGCCATCCACATAAGAGATGGAAGAAGCCGGCAAAAAAAGAAAAGGTTTCTTTCCCATGCATCCGAAGATGCCCCGGGGCTGGGTCGAACGGTGCAAGCCTGTGGAGTGGAGTGCGCATGCTCCGTGGTTGTGAGAAGTGGCGCAACACAGCTGAGGGGTGCACACAGACTGCGGTTGGGTGCAGGTGTGGGTGGTGAAAGAGCAAATATGTGGTGGCCACACAGTGCTGTGTGGCGCGGCACATGATAATCAGGGTGATGTTCGTAGGCGTAGCAGATGTGGATGCGGACACAGGTGGGGAGACACATGCAAAAGTATTAATAAAAAAGATTTGACTTTACTCGAAAGCATCGCAGCAAGTGCGGGTCGAACGCAGCGCGGGTGCGGGTCTAGGCTGCGCGCCTACTGCGGCGAGGCAAGCACCCGCTTCGAATTCAGAGTCAGATGGCGCGCCGGGTATCGCTATCACCGGTGGAGCTGACGCCGGATCGGATCGGTATGACACTGACAGCGATCGACAAATGGAGCATCAGAATCCGTCAAGACCAACATAAATTATATCATTGGCGACCTGTATGTCGCCTCCAGTCTCGTTCGACAAGGGATATACCCGGCGTCCCCAATATCCCCTGCTGTCGGCTTCACGTCCCACCTTCTCAACCTATTTCATTCAATGCACCTACGATGTCCTAAGCTTGGGAAGCAGGCCTTCATCCGCTCCATATGCGATCTCCACACCATCCCTCCCCATCCCCACCTCGTGAGGCAATTCACAGTGGCCTACGACCTCTTCCTCCGGACCAAGGAAGTCATTCGCAAGCATGTGGCTGCCGAGCTCCAGCGCGACAAACCTGATTGGCGCGTTCTGAATGGGTGCCCATGCTGCACGTATAAGGTCGAGGGAGAACCCGAGCTGCTTATTCCTGGCGTGTTTTTCATGCTGGATGGCAACAATGCATTGAAGAGATTCGACCGACGAGAACGACTAGTCGAAGATGGTGTAAATGTCCCGGGGGAGTCCCGGGAGGCGCCGGACAATCGTCTTCCTCCCCGAGACTACTATCTTCCTCGGGAACTTGTTGACCAGTATGGGAAGGATGCAGCTGACGAGCTGCTCAAAGGCTTTAATCCGGGATATGACGAAGAAGGGGACGGCTGTGGGCGTACATGGCAGAACATGAAGGAGTCGGTGGTGACGAAGGCTTGGGGCCTCTATGAAGAGACGGGAATCTTCATCGCCCTCTGTCGACACAGCTTTACGTTCTTCATTGTTGACATGGTCCGAAGCAGAGAGTTGTGAGTTAAATTGGACAACCGTTAACTCAATTGCTAACTCAACTTCAGAGCAAAATACGGCCTTGCTGTCACAGCTGAGCTCCTTCGAATCTTGGAGAAGCTACTCGCTGGATTCGACATTGGATGCAAATACCTCAAATGGGTCCGAAGTCACCCTCTCATTGCACCACTCGCCGAGAAGCACCAATTCGATGCAGTTGTCGGGGCCTTCCCTGGCTGTGGCCATGCCCGTGCCTGCCAATGCCGCCGTCTGCCTATGTATACCCCGAGAGCCGGACTAGAGCCCTTCGAAGGTGCTGAGTCGTTTTTCTCGCGTTCAAATGCACTCTCAGGCACCACGCGTTACATGTCAAGATTCCACCGCCAACAAGAAATCGTGGAGTACTGCGCCCATTCTGATGTCTTCGAGGCATACGCAAACCTTTGTGAGAGAACCTTCAGTAAACAATGCCTAATCTGACTTCAATGCAGCTTCTACTTTGGTGAGCAAGTATCATCATGCGCTGGAGATTCTTGATACAGAATCAGCGCTGTCTGAGACGATGAAGACCTTGGGGATAGCAAGTCGAGAGGTCTTCCAGGAGTGGCTGCAAGCTGAGATGGACCATCTCAGCAAGCTTTCGGCGGAGCCGCCAGAGGAAACAGCGCAAATGGAGTACTATCAGAAGCTAGTGAATCTACAGGCGGCTGAGTACGTATCCTCTTTATTTCTCGGATTGTAACTGATCAATGGCTCAGGGAATGTTTCAACGCCTGTCTGGCTGATCAACTGGTTTTCATACCTGAGGAAGGGAGCCGCGGGTATGAAGCTGCCAAGAAGGAAACAACCCAGCTTGAAACTGAACGACGGCATGCGACGGAGTTGCGGGACAAGTGCCTGGAGGTGGTGATGGATTTGGAGCGTCCGATGCAAATCGAGGAGCGATGGAGGCCTGACAGCCCCGAATGGGTTGCTGCAAGCAGCCTAGTCAGCGAGCGCAGGTATCAACGAGCATTGGACAATGTCCAAGGCATCATTATTTTGCGGCTGCTTGAACTGGCAAGGGTGAATATGGCTGGAACAGGTATTCTATTCCGTCTTAAGAGCCATGGTTGCTGATGAATTTGCAGGGTATAAGCTCCGCAAGCATATTGCAAAGGCACTTCAAGCGCGTTCACAAGCCCTCAAGAATGCTCTGGCCAAGTACAATGAGGCTGCACGGGCATCAGATTGACCTACACTCTCATGGGAGGAGGTGATGGATTACGCCTTTCTGGCTGATTTTGACCTGCTACGACTTGGTCGAGAAGATATTTGAAAGGCGGCATGGGCTCAACCAGGTGCTCGGGCCGCGATGGGCCATTATTTCAAGCTGTTGAGGGTGGAGGAAGAAAGGCTTCATTTGGATGTGGAGATTCTTCGGCTTGTGACCTACTGTAGTAATTAGACCTTAAGTTCAGACCATCTTACGCATTACACATTTATTTCATTTACAATCAAGTTCATCAATGATGATCAGCGCATCAATTTCCTTATTTGGTATGCCGGCGATAGCCGGCCGCAAATCTTGATGATATCTGTCAAATTTGGCAGATTTTGATGCATGATTTCCATGTTTACACATTACACATTTACAGAAGTTCAGTTCAGGTAGGTCTCTTACACATTACTCGAACCTAAGGTCTAATTACTACAGTATATGAGGGAGGAAGAGAGGTTCTTGGTCTTCCACAAAAATCGACTGAAGGGTGAAGGACGCCACGCACAAGCAACTCAGATTCAGCAGTATCGAATGCTCCGAGGAAGATTTTCAGGTGTTCATATGGAACGGCTGTCTAAGCTGAGCAAGCTGAGAGGTTTCACTGGGACTATTCTTCCAGCCCAAGGTCTCTGCAAGGAGAGGCAAGTGCCTGAGAATGCAACTGGTGGACTGGGCATGGAGGACAGAAGATGGAGGGAAACAGGTGATAAGGAGCAGGAGGAGGATCAGGATGAAGATGAAACAGATGATGAAGGTGGAGGGCCTAAATGAGGCCTTTGACCAGATTGTACGAATTACAGAGGATAATGATAGGGACATTTGAGTTAACAACCATACGTAGTGGCAGAGTGAGTTAACAAGAACACGTCATATCTCGTCAATGAACGCGTACTGCCCGTGTTTTCCCATCAATACACAACTTTTTTTTTTTTTGTTTTTTTGAAAAATTACATCATCAACTTGAGTTAACAAGAACGCGCTATATCTCAGCAATGAACGCGATTTGAGTGGTGCCACTTATACGGCACGTGTTCTTTTTTGATTCCCCAACTTTTAATTTTTTGGGTCAGGGGCGGGCCGGCCCGCTGAACCGCTCCAATCGGGTGGGCTCCGGTTTGATCCGCAATATCTGTGCGCGTTTCAGCGCCACCTGATATTTTACTTTTTTTGGTGTGAGCTAGCGGGTCAGTTGGCGGAGAAGCGGGTCACGTGTGCACGTGCCCGTCACGCGCATACGTCACACTTTTCTTGCCTTCCTCTCATCCACGACTTTCAGTTCGGGTCTAGCCCGTCGGCTGCGGGCGAGCATGCGGTGGTGGCGATTGACGACCAGCATTGCAACATGCGCTTGCCAGTGAAGTGCTTGCGCGCGGTCGGTGCGAGGCGCCGGCATCGACCTGACTCGGGAGTCGGAGCGGGCAACGAGGAGGAAACTCCAGCAGGATGGGCGAAGATGGCGGGAGGCAGTGGCTCTATGGGACCTATGAGGCTGATCCATACTGGTGCGTGGCTTATGGCCTCGGAGCCGTTCTTCTCAGAAACTGACATGTTCTTCTACAGACAGGCCCGCCATTTGAATTTTCCCCTCGACACACGCGACCCCGCTCTCCTCCCAAGTACCAGCCAGCTCCTCCGCGAAACCAGCTTGCGTATGGCGCTGGTACGACGGGAAGCTGGGACCACATCGTCATGCATGGAGAGCGATGAGCACGACTGTCTCTGCTCGGGAGGCTTTCGCGCTGCGGTAACCGACATCCCTGGCGTCTTCCCACCCAGCGTCATCGCACCCTGCTCGTTTGATGGAGTACACTCACTATGGCGCAAGATTGCCACTGCCTTCCTCGTCACGCAGACCGACACACGGCCTATGGTCATCCATTTACTCCCAACCTGCTTCTCCGACTTCTGATGTCACAGTCGCATGCAGGATTCCCCGACGAGGCCCTCGCACCACGGTCTACCGCGACCGTTGTGTTTACCCCTATGTCCCCAATTCCGCCCAGCAGGCATCACCATCTATCTCAACTTGTACACCCAAACGGTTTCGCCATCGACGACGCCGTTCCCCTCCTCGCCACCTCTACGCCGTCTGCCCTGGCCGACCTTCTCGCTGGCCCCGGACGACGGTCAGCTCATAATCGCTGAACGCGCTTTTCGCAATGGCGAATGCCTACTAGTATATGCGCCGTCTGCGTGGTCGACAGCGTCGAGCGAGTTCTGGTAGCTCGCGGAATTCGCTCACGGAGACGGACTACTACGGGAAGTGGGCGGCCTACTTGTATAGAGTGGACATAATATGACATGCTCAAGTATAGATGTCGAAAGAGTTTTGTCAAGTTGAGATCTCGCCATCAAGTGTTACTGATATGTTGCTACATTTACAACCCTTTACGCCATCTGCTTGGAGGTCCGTACGAGGCATCGTTTTCAAGTTCCGAGTCAGAGTTTTGATACAAACACACAAACTTCAAGGAAAAACATGCACATATCGGCCATACTCCACTTATTATATCGCTTCAGCTTGAAGCTGCTGGATGTCAAGATGTTCATCATCTAGTCCAAGTCCGAGTCGGATACAGGTGCCAAAGAGGGGTCGTACTCAGCATATGTTGGTCCCAGTTTCGTGGCGTGGCTTGCACGCCGCCATGCCTGGAGCGGGGTCCGCGGGTCAGGCCGGGGTGCTGTCGGGTGGCGAGATATGGCCGATTTTTGCGCCATTTGTTTAACCTTAGGCTTGGGCAGGGGTACATGCGGCTTTTGGAGGCGCCAGAAGACTGGGCACGGGCGGTGAAACTTGGGCGTTTGGACGTATAGGCATATTGGCACAGCGGTAGAGGGGTCATATTCATCTTGTGCCTCCCGGGCGCGCTCGAACAATCTATAGTCCTCCGGGTCGTAGGCACGAGAAACGAGGCCAGATGTATCTTCCTGGTCGTCGCATACCCGGGGGTCGTGGATGTCGACTCTTTGGAGCACGCCTAGAAGTGCTGCACACCGCGCGGTCAACAGCCGCTCGAGCTCCGTACTGACACGCCTCAGCGGTGAAAGGCCGAGGATCTGTAGTCGCGGGCAAAGCAGCCCGTCGGGCGGCGCTTCAATGGGTGCCAGGGCGCGGAGAAAGGGAAGCGGCGAGTCGTGTGTCGGCCCATAGTATCCCCGCTCTGTTTTACGGCGCATGGTGATGCTGAGTTCCAGCAGCTGGGGACAGACGCGGAGAAGCTCCAAAGTAGGAGAGAGATCGACATCAGCTTCTGATTGGGCGAGGACGACAAGCTTTTTGAGGGCACATCCACTGCGAACGACAAACAGACTCAATGCGGTCGATGGTTGAGGGATGACAAGCTCCTGCAGATGGGGGCATGCGAGACGAGCTAGCAGACCGTCGACAGACGTCAAAGAGTCCTTTGTGGAGATATGCAGATAGGTGAGGAGAGATAACGGCAATGGCGCGACCATCGACTCGGAGTGCCCCTGCTCTGACGAGACTTCTTGGGGCAAAATCGTCAGTGAGCACCTGGTGATACTCTGCGTCGTGTTCAATATCATGAGGAGCATCGTGGTGGTACCGTGGAGTGCCAGCCCAGTTAGCTGATGCCACGCCAATCGAATGGAGGAAATGCTCGCGCCGTGATTGAGGACAGGTACGGAACTCGTCATACAGGCCTCCTTCAGATTCGGGGCGAGCGTCAACAAATGCAAAGGCGATCCTGAAGCGATGGTGTCGAGTGGGCCATCCAAGGTGAGCCGGTGGAGGTGAGTGGGATGAGTAACGAGAAGCGAAAGTGTCTCCAGGGTATCATAGTCGTCGGCTGTCCAGCGCAACGTCAAACTCGACCACCGCCCGCTAGTCGAACTAACCAACATCATCAGCTGCTGCCCAAAGGCGGAGCTGGCTGGTATGTGTCGCAAGTCGAGCTGCACGTGCAAGTCGATGGAGACGGAGTGCATGATGTGAGAGCGGACTCTGCCCAAGGGATAGCGACACTTGTTTTCGACAGATGTGGTGAAAACATCGAGGTGTTGCCAAATATGACGATTGGCAAGAACAATTTTGCGCCAGTCCCGGCACACCGCAGCCAGCGCGAGAGGACTGTGGTTGTGCACCCAGACAGGGCGGAAAGGAAGCTGGGGACCGGAGAGGGATTCAGCTAGCGTGGCGCGGTACATGATCTCCAGCAGAACGGCCGGATGACTATGGATGGTGCGTATCGGAGACCAGGTCAAGAGTTTATGGTACGGGGCGACCTCCTTCTCCAGTGCTTTTTGTTCCTCGACGAGCTTGTCAAACCGGTTGCCTGCCTTGGTCTCAATCGTCTTCCGCTGCTTGCTCTTCTTGGCCTGCACGGCTGCGATGCGCCTATTCGCCTCCTGCCGTATCTCGGCCTCCTCGTTGTCGAATTTATCGTTGACACGACGCACATTAGCCTTGGTGTCCTGCTGTAGCTTCTCGATGGTGTCGCTCACGGCGACAATCTGCGCTCGGTGGGCCGCGACGAATGTCCGGAGAGAGGCAGTATTGGCGGGGGACAGCGCGGAGTTGTCCCTGACTCGGAGTAAGCCAAGGAGATGCTCGGGTGGCCGACTAGCTCGGGTGAGTGCTGCAGCTCGTCGCCGTTGGGTGCACGTACCTTTCTGCCATGACGGTTGAGTGCAAGTGCCACGTATTGGGGCTGTGCATCAGAGAAGCTTGATCATGATAGGATCATTCACGATGTGCGCATATCTCACACGTGAATATCGAACTTGAAATCGAAAAGTCAACGATTCATAACCGTCGCACAAGTATCGTCAAAGCGTACAAACAGAACGAAACGCGGTTCGGCGCAGGCCGCGCGCGGGGCATCAGTTTCCTTGAAGAGTGTTTTGTTGCGTCCTCGTTTCCAATCTGTACTGACGCGAGGCATCACCAACGCATTCCAGAATATAAGTAGACCACCACAGCGCTTGAACGTAACGTACTAACAGAAACGAAAAAAAATCATAACCCGTCATCATCATCGGGCAAAAAGATTTCGCCGCTTTTGGGGTGGGCGGCTCGGAAGCGGCTGGTGGGCGGCTCTGTGAAAATTATGTAGACGATATCTTCGCCAATACATCACATAATGACGACCTTCCTGGGGCGTTCGATAGCCCCCGACGAGCTCTTTCGAACGTGCTGCTGAGCGGCTCGAACAGTGGCCTCGTTGTTGAGAAACGGCCTTAGACTTTTTGGGGTGGGCGGCTCGACGCGGCGGTGGGCGGCTTTTTGCCTGAATTTTGCCGCCCTCTTTTTGCGGTGGGCGGCTCGTGGCAGTGCTGCCGCGGCTGTGGGCGGCTCTCGCACAACTGAGCGCGGCTCTCGTGTGACAGAGGGCGGCTCTCAGCCAAGCGAGGAGGGCGGCGATGAACATGGCCGCCCACCCCAGTAAGCGGCAGCTGCGGCGCCGCTCTCTTCCATTGACCTCACTCCTCGTCACCACAAGGCCGTCGCCTTCGTCGCTGGCCACTTCTCCGGGTAGTGAACGCATGTTGCGTTGCCCGCGCCGTCGTCGTCGTCGCCATCAACGTTCGCCGACGGCGTCGACGCCGCAGATGACAGATGATGAGTCATTCACATCACCATCACTCCATCTTGCCTTCGCTCCACCACCATCCCGACATGCCCTCGGCCACCGCCTCCCGTAACTTCACGGAGCCAACGTCGGTGCCCCCACTGTGGCCCCATCCCACCCAAAGCACATCGCCGCCCGCCGCCACCGCCGCCCGCCGCCCGCCGCCACCGCCGCCACCGCAGCTGGGTCCGCGGCCTGACGAGCGGCTAGGTGATTCATGCTCAACATGCCTGAGCATGAGCCTTGATGCTTTCCCGCCCCTCCCAGAGCTCGCACATGCTCCCCGAGCGACTCGCCGGTCAACGTTGAGGACGGGCCGCATTTTTGCGGAAATATCTTGTCACGGGCCCCACTCTCGCAAACACGGAACGACTCTCTCGGGACATCCGGGGCCGCGAGCATCCGCAGTGAGCTCACCGTTTCTCGAGGGCAACACCGTGACTTGTGCGCTCTTTGAACACCCATCGACCTGGACTTCTTGGTGCGCTGACTACGGCGCTATTCTGATTCAATTTGCGCCGCCCACCCGCTACCGAGCTGAGCGGCAGCTGCGGCTGTCTTTCATTGGCCTGCACCCCCCGAGTTGTCATTACGCAACGTACGCGCTGGCAATGTCGCAGCAGAGAGCTCGAGAGTCGACGAAGCTTCCTAAGGCTTAAGCATCCGCGAGGAGCTCCTGGCGCGACGCTGTGCACACCCTGCATTAACACCGCCCGGAGGAGCCGCCTTCTCAGCGCCATTACCGCCCCATGGACCCCTGCTACCTAAAGAACCCCAAGACTCCGAGATGTGATCCATCCACCGGCGCCAACTCATCACAACTCGCTGTGCCACCATGCCAAACATCTTTCGCGATGACGACGACGCCGGCCCGGGTGTCTAAGTTGCGTCGTCCGCAGCTTGCCTCGCCCTTCAGCACTCCTAGTATGGCTGCCACGCCCGCTCACCTTCTTCCGAGTCACAGCAAAACTACGCCTGTCCTCGCTGTGCGCGGCTCAGTGACCGGCTCGGCAAGCATACTTTCCAGTTGAGCGGCGGTGCGCGGCCGCAGCGGTACCGGTGCGGGGAGGGCAACAATGTACGTTGCTGCTATGCCACTAAGCGGCAGCTGGGCTCCCTTGCATCGACGTACCTCGTCATCGCACAACGTGGTGCCCAGCGCAAATGACGCGTCGTCAAAATATGCGCGTCCGCCGATGGTACTGCACCTGACAGCAGTAGGTCCACCCCGAGGACGCCCGGCGAGCCCCATGGTTACGCTACAGGGGACGGCGGAAGAGGCGGCACCGAGGAGGAGGAGGTTTGGGTTACCGTGAGCCCAGGTGACGGCCCGGGTAAGTACTTGTCAGATGTCGCTGCTGTATACTACAAGTAGATTGTAAACCACTGGATTTCCATGCCTCAGAGGTCTTATCTAGTTGCCGGACAGTGCAATTCTTAAAGATGAGGGTTGTTCATCTGATGTAATATGTCAATTTAACAATCCCTAAAAATTTATCATTACTTAGAATGTAAATAGCAGCACAATGACTACAAATTATGCATTGGGATCTTCACTAATGTGTACAGGACACCCAAGAGTATGTAATTCAACAAAAATCCCAAAACCTTAAAATTGAGTACTTCGCCGCCCACCCCTGGGCGGCGCTCTGGGCGGCGCGTTGTCATGGCCGCCGCGGCCCTCAAGGCAACGGAGACGACGCCAGCCATCAGCATGAGTGTGCATCACGCAGATCTATCGTCGAGCGCCCAACCATGGCACCCACCACCAGCTTTTGGAGTCCTTGTAACGTTGCTCGACGACGGTGGGCGGCGAAGTACATGATTACGTCAGATCATGTACTTCGCCGCCCACCCGCCGCCCACCTACTGGTGTGACTGCCGCGGCAGCGTGACAGAGGTGGGCGGCGATGGGGCTAGGTGACGCGGCGGTGGGCGGCTGGTGGGCGGCGGTGGGCGGCGAAATATATCTGCCCATCATCATCCATCACTCAAAACCGTACTTTCCCAGCATTAAAACTCCCCATCCGCGCTCGCCCACCACTCGACAAGCCGGCACTGGGCAGCGCCTCCCTCACAACACTCACTTCTCCCTCTCCCTCGTGCTCGTGCTGCCATTCAGGCCCGGACGAACCCGCCGGGCGTCCTGTCGAAGTCGTCCTCCCCAAAGCTCAAGCCCCGCCGGCGCACCGTCGAAGCCACCCGGCGTGCCGTCGAACTCGTCTCCGGCTTTGTCGGGTGCGTGTGCGTGGACGAAGCCACCGAACTCTTCTGCTCGCGAAGCGGGGTTCAATGGCGAGGGAAAGGTGGCCGTGGACGAGGAGGGCGCTGGACTTGGAGCGCGTGCTGCGGCGGTCAGATTTAGACTTGGACTTGTTCTTCCGAGTCTCGGAGGACTGCGTCTTCGGGATGGGCGGCGCGCCCGACCAATGGCGACGCCCGTCGACGGAGAATAGGGAGGAGCATCACGATACGCAGGGTGGCCGTCGCTGGAGCCCGAACTGCGCCCGCTTGATCTGGACTGCGACTGCAACCCGCCGGCCCACAGTATCGGAGCCCTCTGCGCATATGACAGCCCGTCGAAGTCCGCCTCGTCGTCATTGTCGTCGGCGGGGAGCGGCACAGTCATCGGCTGGGGCTGTGGCGCGGCGTCTCGGAACTTGAAGGGGGCGAGGATACAGTAGCGCCCCCGGCGAGCCCGGCAGCGAGCCCGTGCTGTCGCTGCCGGCGTCGGCTGGGTTTACAGGCGGGCAGGTTCGTCGTGCTTCCGCCTCCGCGTACAGCCCCAAACTCCAATCGCCGGCGACACGCGTGCCCTCCTCCCCCTCCAGCCTGACCGTCCCCCTTTGCCCTGCCCGTGCCAAACACTGGCAGGTTCCACCCCCACAGCGATATCGTGTACGCGTCCGACTCCGCCCGCGTCGGTCGTTGTTGTTGTTGCCGGTGTGTGCGCACTGCGAGCAGCCCCGGGAGCTCTCCGTGCTTGCCGTCCTGCTCACCTCACTGGCAGGCGCACACAGCAGAGACTAGTGCAGCGTCCAGCCTGTCGCGGCCTTGCAGCGCCATCTCCGCCATCGCCGGTCAATGCCTTCGGGATCGGACGCCCAGGCCGCTGCACTTGGGACGGGCCACGCCTGAGGCGGTCGTGGGGGCAAGACGTGTACTGCAGATAGGCCGAGAGTGCCGGTGCCGGTGCCAGCGGGCGAGGAGCGGGAGCCACGGGCCCGACCTGGACCGACCAGCAGAGCGCTGGTCATGATGTTCTCCTGGTCGCCATGTGTGTGTTAGCACCTAAGAGCGGACAATCTTCCCGGGATATCACGGGCCAGAGAGTGGTGGGCGAAGGTATATGGGGTAATGAGAAAAACATTGCGGGCAGAACGGCGACCCGGTCGGAGCTGGAGAGGCCCGCAACGCACGCGCAGCCCGTCGCCAGTGGCGGCATAGCGCGGACCCGCAGGAAGCAGCACCATCTCTGTCTCTTCCTAGCAGTCGTTGGGTCGCCCAGTGTCGCAGTAACTTATCAGGAAAAACCTACTTTTCCACTTTACCTTACTTTACCATCCTGGGAAGGTAAAACTGAGTTATTTCAGATATTTGAGGGTAACAAGTGGTAAATTGAGGGTAATTGAGGGGTAAAAAATCTGTTGGGAATGGTAATTATAGATAAGTTGTCAAAATATGGTTATCAAATACTTATATTTTTAAAATAATGTTGCAAATACATGACGATCTGTGCGATTATTAACGAAAAATGTTGGACATAGCTCAAGAACATTGCTTGATGTCCATTCTTTGGGGGCAATAGGACCAAATTTAGGAAGTAGATGAATACTTCGCCGGATTGCTGAAATTGAAATGATGCTTGCTTCCCTAGCACCATTCTTCATTGACCGTTTCAATTGATAAAAATGATGCCAGGCTTCTGGTGCACTTGAAAATGGTGAGAACCATTCAACATAGGCAAGATGCTTTGGAGGTAAAGGAGCACCAGGTGGGAAAAGGGATTTTACTCCTCGGTCAGGCAGGGAAAAGACCACACGGACTTGGCCAACTCGATAACCTGGAAATGAATTAAATAATTATTTTTCAATATCACCTAGAAACTGAGCTGACCTTTGACCCCTGTTAGTTCAGCTGTCCCATCATTGATCAAGACTGTATCAAATCGACCAGGAATATCTCCAAATTTTTCCCACACGAACAGGCCCCACATGAACCGAATCAATAATAGAGTCAACAACTCCAGTGGAAGTGTAGGGGTCAGGTGTTGTGAATTTGATGCGATGATAAACAGGGACTGCATTGAAGGGCAGTGCAAAGGATGCAAGACGCATTTTCATGTCGGCCGGGGATAGATGAGGAAATAAATGTTGTATCAGGAACTGGGAAAGGCATTGACGGAATGAAGCGGCACCATATTTTCGTAGAATATCTTCGATACGCGCTGCCTTGACTGTGGGGTGCTTTGCCATCAGTAGCCTCCGCTCGTAGATCAGTCCTGGATGTAATTTAACCAGCGGCGGTGGTGGCGGGCTACCAGCAAGCTTCCACTGTATAAACTTTGCATGCTGCGCCATTTTCTCCTTGCGTTCAAGCCATAGCGTCATTTGTGGAAACTTCGTCTTTGAAATTTGTGGAGCGGAAGGCATCTTTGGCGAGGTCGATATGAAGGCGTTCGGTGTACTCGGTGTTTGTATTGTCAGTAGTGCCGAATAATTGGATATACGCCGAATAGTGAGAGGCACCATGAAGCTTCGGCAGGTTGAAGTTGGTCCGGATACCCAAATCAACAAAGATTTGTTTGTTGTCATGAAAGGTTTGGAGCGCGTCATTGAGAAGGCCAAGTGTTTCGTCTGTGTGCATTGGATACTGCGCCAGATAGACAAAGTCCAAGAGACCACGGACAGCACCCAGAAGACGAGCGGAGGAAAGGCCATTAGGCAGTCGGATGTCGATAATGATACCCAGCAAAAAGCGTGAAATTTGATCGTGCTCCCGGCCAGTGACCCGTGACAGACCAGATATCCCCTTCATGAAGAGTCGAATATTATGATTGGGGGGGAGGCGACGGCATCGAGCATCAATTTCCGCCTCTCCACAGCAGGCCATGACCCAAGCAATAAGGTGCTTGATCACACCTTGATAGAGTTGGTGAAGGACATCAGGCGTGATCGAACGGAAGATGTTGGTGTAAGGCAAGTTTTCCCAGAACGGATGATATATTGGCTTGATTCCGACCTCTTTACATGCCCGTTTATACTCTGTCGGGTCCCCATCCACCCCATCCAGCACAGCCAACACTCGTGCAAGATCACGGAGCGGAAAAGTTTCATCGTCTCCCAGCTGATCACGCTCAACCTCACAGCTACCACATTCCCCGGTTGGAACACACGTCACCAGCACCTGCTCAGGATAGTCGCCGACAAAGGTTGCAAAGATGGGGTGGCAGCGTCGAATGACTCCGTCGCCGCTTGCCATCTCAACACCCTTAGCTCCCGCTTTCTCCAATGGCCCCAGAATGTACTTCATGGCTGCGTGAAACACATTTGCAAGAACACGGCGACGTGCGGCTTTGTTTGTAATGTGCTTCATTTTCGAGGTCGGAAGGTAGCCCAGCAGTATATATATGCGCGCTGCGAGGGCTTTCGGCGGATCTCCTTCGGGATATTCCCGATCGTGAGGTAGACAGGATAGGCAGTCTTGTTTCCGAAGAGCGTGAGCTGAGTTTTGTCGGAAGAGATGATAATCGGGACGATGGTTGCCCCGGATTCTTTTTCTCGACTGCTTCCTGTCGAATCATGAGACAAACGAATCAACCGATTCATGCTACCCTGATCGCAAGGAGATGCCCGATAGTATTGTTGCCCTCATTGCGACTGCGGTATGTGATCTATTTTTTCTTTACTTTCCTAACTGTTTGCCAGATTAAAAATATCCTCGATGAATACCAGACGGGCATCCATATCCCAATAAGTTTCCAAGCAACCACATACGAGGAGACTTACCGCCATCACCTGCGCAAAATCGCCCGCTTCCGCACCAAGGCCCCAGAGTCAATGTCACAAATCATGGCGGACTTGTACGAGTCTGTCGCAAAGTCCAGGTATTGTCCTCATCCTTCTGTGACGCTTGCTTATCTGGTATTCTCAGTGTAACGCCAGCGGGGGAGAAGGATAGTGACGATGATACCTTCTTTACAATCTCTGACCTTCCTTCAACCAATGCTTAAAGGTAGTAGCAGAATACCTATACTCTAGCCTTGTTTAATCTATATCCTTTGTTACTTGTATATACTTTAAATGCATTTCTTGTATATATTTCAAGCTCTGGTGTCAAACTGTGGTAGGTATAATTATGGTATTCTTACCAGGGGCTATAGTAAAGTCATATAATCCTAGGTAATTTTAGATAAAGTAAGGTAATTGTTCCCTTATTATAGAGGGGGGGGATGGTAAGTGAAGGTAAATAAGATAATGAAGTAACTAGGGGTAATATTTGGTAAAATACTGGTATAATACATACATTTATTCCTAATTACTTGGGGAGCTTTTCCCTGATGAAGAAAGCGAGGGAGAGGGCGCAATGTAAGCCCCGTCCCCGGCGTCCCGTACGGGCCACGCGGCCCACGGGAGACGCAGAAGACGAGGAGACATCCCACAATCCTGGCCGAAGGGCAGTGCGAAAATTGGGGAGGAGGGGACAGTCAAGATTAAGCGGGGAAAAAGAAGACGTCTGCGACAGATCGCCGCCTGGCGCACGGACCACCTTCCGGACACGTGCACACGAGGAAGATCCACGTCATGCGTAAATTCTCCGCCACTGCACAGGCTCCCAACGCTCAAACCGCATGGCCCCCACGTGCAGGCTGTCTGTCACAAATCTCAGAAGATCTCAGATCATGGATATCACGAGCGCAGCGCCAATCTTCAAATAGCTTGGCTCCGGCTTGGCTCCGGCTACCCTGCTCCTGCCGCCAAGATCGGAGAACTGTGATAGCATTAGTAGAATCCGATGATCCTGCTAAACAGAGACAAACATTCTCACGTCACATATACAATAATATAAGAGACATGACAGCACCTGACAGCCGCGCCTCTTCCTTCTTGCCCCACTCACACACCTTTGCCCTGCACACCTTGCACCCCCCTGCTCATGTCTACACCACCACAACACAATACTAGGGCCATGGAGGAAGAGTCAGAGTCCAGTGAGACAGATGCTCAAATTCAGAGTCCTGGTGCAGGCAACTTCTTCTCTGGGGCCAGCAACTTCAATGTCATACACAGTAACTTCACCACCCATATCCATCAGCATCACAACCAGTCTGAGACAGCATCTATTGCTGGAGGTCAGTATCATAAATACATTAAGATATAACTCTTATGTTAAATCCCTATGTTGCTAGCCAACTTCCGCAGAATTCTACTAGGAGATGTATACCTTCAACAGGAACTTTCCACATTAGGAGCAAGAAAGGTCTACAAAGCACAGCTAAATGGAAATACGGTGACAGTATCTGTTTATCAGGGAGGTGTCAAGCCAAAACAGGTAATGCATCATTCTTCTACATAGCAAGAGCTGACTTTTGTAGAACTGGGAAAAGGAAGTGAAATTGATGCAGAGGATCAGGTGACTTGCAACTAATAAAACAAGTGGAAGCCCTAATTTATTGTCTAGACATCCTCATGTGCAACAACTCTATGGAATTGTCAATGCTGATATCCTTCACATGGCAGTTTACCATGGAGGTTAGTGGAGAGACTTTGGATAATCTGTCTGATCTTTCCTTTAGCACTTGTGTCATATTTTGGCCTTCATCGTTATCTGACCCCAGAGGACAGAGTCAAAACATATGTTCATGCCGTATGCCCTGAATGTGTCCAGGTTTTCAAGTTCATAGTTGACTGAGATATAGAGGTGTGCTTTTCGAGTAAGTATTTGTATTTGTTCAGGCTCTCCCTTGACAAATATAAGTCAGCTGCTCGTGCTGTTCATGCCATTTGGTATTCCCAAGGAGGCACTGGTGGTTATGCTCGGCCATGGGTGGTGTGTGAATGTTCATCCACTTTTGTTTTTTGTTATTGAAACTTTCAGAATATAACAATGCAGATTAACATAATGACAAAACAATTGTCACTTGGTATTAATCCCAATGCCCCATTTGGCCAGGGCTTGCCGCTAAACAATATAGCATCATCGCTTGGACATCTCTTGCCCCTTTGGATAAATGCACCACCAGTTGGAGATTTGTCCACTTTGTTCATGGCAGTAACACCGGATGTGCTTCTGGATGCTGTCTCTCTCTCTATGATGTCCATAGGGAAAGGAGAGTGTATGGGATTTTGTCCCATAGAACACATGGTTATAAAACAGTATGATAACTACACAAAGCCAGTGGCATATGACTGGGAACTCATGGGAAGCTTTCATACACCCAGAAGAACCAAGAACTATCGATGGAAGTCAAACAAAATCACTCTAAACCCTCTACCCAATGGAGGAGGTTTTCATGAACCTAGAAGAATCATAAACTATACATGGGATTCAGACAAAATCACCCTAAACACTCTGCCCAATGGATGGTCATAGTATGCTACAGTCTTTCTCCAATTGCATGCTTAACATGCTTTTAGTTATTCTGTTGGACCTGACACATTTCAAGGAGACTATGATTTATCTACAGACATGGACAATAAGGCTGAAAACATGTGGAAAAGCCAAGCTATATATCTGTTATCTTTGCTGAATGCTCCTATGGATCAGCTTGCATGTTATGGTGAGATAAAAACTTATAAATAATTAAAATATAATTTCACGTGTTGACAAGGATTCATAAACTCTCATCACATCAGAGTTACATTTACAGCAGGGTCTTCTGGCTGTCCTCTGGGGTTTTTGATGCCGTGTCATCCGAACTATGGACTTTTTAATATGCAAGATTCAAAGGATATTGCATTTTGGTGCCTGGATGCTGAGGGCACACAGAAATTGAGTGACAGTGAAGCACTTGCTTATGGATTTCCTTCTATAACTATAGATGAGTTCTATGTAGCCCACTGTATAAGGCAATCATCATATGATGAATTGTGCACTATACACACATCGAAAGGATATGACCCAACTACCCCAGACCTTGCAAAAAGCCTGAACTATCCTATTTATGAACTAGTGCCAGAACACAGCCAATGTATGTGACTTGCAGGATTATCCAATCTAAACTGATATATTATAGCATTCTGGGAAGAGATGGGGGGAGAAGAAGGCTTCTTACTGACCCAACTCTTTGAAAATGACTGTGATAGTACTGCCAAGGCCATAGAAGCTAAGACTCCACCAGGTGGTCAAATAATGACAAAACACAGTCTTGCCCAGGGCAAAGTAACTATGTCCAATTTAACATGGTATCTTCTTACCATGATGGCTATATAAGCTGTAGCCTTTTTCGGACAATTGAGCATCCGTGGAGCCTGAGGGGTTGTAAGTAGATATGGTAAATATATATAGTAGCCAGCCAAAAAATATTTCTGTGCTCTCAACAATCCAACCTTTAATGTATTTGCAGTCCTTATCGTCTCTCTCATCTTACCAGGTAGACCTTCAAACCTTTCTCTTCCCATAGAAACATGAACACAAATATTAACTTTTTATATATATTTCCTTCCAAAAGAAATAAGATGTTTGATCTGAATAAAATCTACACCTTGTTGAATAGGTTATAGACTCCAGCTGAAATCTGTGCAACATAAATTCTATTCAGCCTACACGCCAGCAAAGCTCCTAACAGCTGAGCACTGACATTTTGATGACTACACACATATACTGTACCTACTTGCCAGGTCTCCATGGCGTGGTGAACTTATCACTGCAATCGGAATCGTTGGGCTAAAGGAGAGGTTCCCCTGACAGGCTCATCCTAAGTAGGGAGGATGCACAGGTGAGGAGGCGCTTGGGAGGCGCACATTGGTCATCTTTGAATCTGGAGCAGGAATAGCCTATTTCTATGTGAGACATTTTTTTTCTGTTATGGAGATTGTACCTTTCATTAGATAAGGCATTTTTTGTGTCAGAATGTTGACTATGTTTGCTGGGTTTCGTTTACATAATTCCAACCCATGCTTATATATATATATATACTTTCAGGCCATGATCCTGGATAGCCCACTATGTCGCAGGCCCATCATCAGGCGACTGATGGGAGGTTAACATACTGATATAGCCTGCCATGTTGAAGGTTCTAGGTATATACATCTACATCTACATCCACATCCACATCCAAATTCCCAGGGGTGTGTTTCTTGATGTTGGTGGAAAACTATTAGAAGGCCTATATTTGCAGCGGCCCTGCAGCACCATCAGGCGCACATGTTGTATTCACCGACTCTATGGGGGCGCGGCAGGTGGGTTTGTAACCTACCGGGCAACCTACGCCAGGTTGGGAATCCACCTAGGCCAGGTGGCATATCCACTGACATAGGTTACATTTACAGGTGGTAAGCCAACCTATAGGCCAAGTGGGAAACCCACCTAAATAGGCCACTTTCTACCTAAGCTCCTACGTATAGATACTCTCACCCGCAAAGCAAAATAAATCTTCTGGTTCTCAGCGCCAACACCCAGACCCATCTTGCTCTGGAGGGTGTAGTTGGTGCCTGCTTGGCCACTGAGCCGTGGAATTTGCTCGAGGGGCCCATCCGCGTTATCACCAGCAGCCATTCCTTCGAGCCGGCGACGCTCAAGCTCAAGCTTTTGGCATTCCCGGTTAAGCGCATTTCGCAGGGCTTCGACCTCGGCCCTCAGTGCATTCGTTGTTTTCGGTCGCTCGGCAGTGCAAGAAAACTGCTTGGCCACTCATTCTCTTCGACTATAACCTTCCGCCTTCCATCTTGTCAACATTCTTGCGCTTGGTGTGATACCAGGACCTCACAAGCCCAAAGACTCCGACTCGTTTCTCTGGCCATTTGTCAAGGAGATGCTTTGACTTGCTGTCGGTGTTCGTGCGTTCAACGACTTGACTGGCAAGCTCTTTGTCCTTCCGGCCTTTCTTATCCTTGTATTCGGGGACATTCCAGCGGTATCCATGTTCATGCGCATAAAGGGGCACAACGGCTTGTCCCCATGCCGTATGTGCAAGATCATTGGTCTCCAAATTCCCAATGTGATTCGGAATACAGCCCACTACATACCTCACAATCGCTCCACCCATCCGGCCACTATAACCGACAATAACTCTATCTTGCAATACGATCCCGAAGAACTTCCCCTTCGCACACACGCGGAAATCGTCAATCAAGGCCGTGAAGTGGAGTCAGCTGCATCAATGGCAGAGTCCGACCGACTCGCAAAGAAGTATGGCGTGAAGGGGGTCCCACTACTGTCTTACCTCGGCTCGATCTCGTTCCCACAGTCCTTCCCCTTCGACTTCATGCATCTCATTTGGGAAAATCTGGTCAAAAATCTTGTGCTGTTATGGACGGGGAGCTTCAAGGGACTTGATGCAGGGTCAGGCAAATATGAGCTCGGCGAGGCAGTGTGGGCCGCTATCGGAAAGCGTACCACAAATGCAGGTTCCACGATACCCTCTGCATATGGAAGCCGAGTTCCGGATATCACTGACAATCGTGGCCTTATATTTGCAGAGATGTGATCGTTTTGGACGCTCTTTCTTGGTCCAGTCCTTCTCCGCAATCGATTCGAGAAAAAGCGATACTATAATCATTTCATCGAGCCTGTGCGCTTGCTTAATATTTGTCTTCAGTTCGAAATTACGGATGCTGAGATCGAAGAAGTGCGACTCAGGTTTGTGAATTGGGTGGAGCTTTACGAGCAGTAAGTAAAATTCTCTCTGTCTCAATCGACCTCTTATGTTTCCAGATTCTATTACCAGTATTCACCAGACCGAATCTCCACCTGCCCGCTCACCATTCATGCCCTCTTGCATATTGCCAATAGTATCTCATTTGCTAGTCCTATGTGGTGCTATTGGGCATTCCCAATGGAGCGGTATTGTGGGACTCTCCAAACTGCAATCTGGAATCGACGATCTCCTTGGGCATCTCTTGATCGGTTTGTGCTTGAGAATGCACAGCTGACACAAATCAAGGCAATATACAACACTTCCGCTTTGACGAAATGTTGCCAACGTCGTGGCTCCCGTTCCCCAAAAACGACTCTAGCGCTTCAACTTGCCCACCCCAGCTCCCAAGTCTAGTCAAGCGTCGCTCACTCCGCACCGCTGCACTCTCATTACGAGATACTCCTGGGATGGTTCCAGGCTCCCTTGTTGACCCTCTCTGTCAGTGTCCACCAATTAATAAAGCTGACTGTTAATTGGTTATCTCAGATCCAACTTGTCTCCTTCTCCCGCCTCATTCCTGTGCCATCGTGATTGATCGCGGTCTTCAACGCGGACTTGCAGCAGCATTGTCAACAATCACCGACTCCGATGTCACAGCAGTTAATAGTGCTCTTCAGCATGCAACAATTGATGAGTGGGGTAAGATTCGGCACATTGATTCTGAAGCAGGTGATACTATACTATCATCGTCCCTTGGGACAGTCACAGAGGATGCACGAGACACCACTTTTGTTCGGGTATCTTTGTCTTTGGAATTCAAATTATTATCATTGATTGGTTCACAGTATGAAATGCTTGTGGACAAGTATTCCCGGCAGAAGAACCAGGAGCCTGAATTTACTCAAGAAACCTTTTTGGACAGCTGACACACATCTATCATATCTCATTCCCTCACGCCGTTCCTACACTTAATCTCGACAAGCCTACCACATTTGTCCTCACGGCGATTCGATCCTGCACTATAGTTTCCGACCCAAAATTGGATAATCTTGGCATCCACCGATATACGGGCGATGGGGCACTGGACTTTGCAGATTTGTCCTGTCTGCAGGCGCTGGTTGGGCAAGTAGAGGATGACCGTCAGCGTTGGTGGATAATTGATCAATCAGGTAGTCTACCATGTGCTTTATGGATTGATGAACAATAAAATCATTCTTATTATCATTTATTTATATATTTGACTTTTCTTCTCTTTTCCTTCACTTCAACCTAGATAGGTTGTATTTTAACCTACTTATTTAGGTTGGTCCACTATAGGTGACTCTGTTACAAGCTCAAAAGCCACCTATATCATAGGTTGAAAAAATGATGATATAATTTTCACAGAAATAGAGCATACTAAAATCACCTAATAGCTACCTAAGATAGGCAAGAAGAGGGAAACCCTCCTAAGATGGGTGGTATCCCCACCTAAGTCGGCCCCATACTGCCAAAAAACCTTTTGCAGTTAATTATTAGTATGCTGAACACATACAGTAAGACCAATCAACTGTACTCATTCACCAGCAGACGGTATGTGTACGGTGGAGACGCCGGAGGAGGCTCGGGGCACTCGCGCTCACCGAAGGTCTCGGTCAAGCCAATGTGATGTCACGTGACTCCTACATGTGCTCATCTACAGCGTGCAGCCCAGCAGCTGCAACGGTCCGCATGTACAACAGCCAGAGCACAATGGGCGGGCGAAGACAGGCCCGCACTGGCAGGCAGGACTCGCCGCGCGCCGGTTCGTCGCGGGCGCGCGCGCATCAGTCGAGTGGAACCAAACGTGAGTATATTTTTTCCCCTCAGTGACAACACATCTCGCACGTAAATATCTACACAACGATGCCTGATCGTCGTATCTCAGACGTAACCTTGGCACCAAAAACGAACTGTGGTTCGGCGCAGGCCCGCGCGCGGGGCATCAGGTTGGTCCTAGAACCCTTTTTGCGTCTGCGTGTCCCGCCCGGAGTTGCACTGACGAGCGCCGGCACGGTCACCAACGCCTTCCAGAAGTTGAACGTAAAGAGAACAAATCGAAAAAAAAATCTTAACCCGTCATGACACATCATCATCACTCAAAACCCGACCTTCGCGCCATCAAAACTCCCCATCCTTGCCCTCCCGCTCGACAAGCCAGCACTCGGGAGGGCCTCCCTCACAACACTCACTTCTCCCTCTTCCTCCTCTTCTGCCCACGCCGGCTCGTGCCCGGTGCCGAACCCGCCAGGCGTCCCCGGGCCGTCGAAGTCGTCCTCGCCAAAGCCTAGGCCCGCGGGCGCGCCGTCGAACCCGCCCGGCGTGCCGTCGAACTCCTCTCTTGGCTTGCCCTGCACGAACCCGCCGAACTCTTCTGCGCGAGAAGCGGCGTTCAAAGGCGAGGGGAAGGTGGCCGTGAACGGGGAGGCCAGCGTCGAGCTCGTCGCGCTGGATTTGGGGCGCGTGCTGCGTCTGTCGCTCCCGGATTTAGACTTCTCGCTCTTCTTGGAAGATTGGGTCTTCGGGATGGGCGGCGAGCCGACTAGAGGTGACGGCGTCGACGGGGAATATGGAGGAGCATCACGATGTGCCGGGCGGCCGTCGCCGGAGCGCAAGTGCGGGGCCCGGCGGGCGTAAGACAGCCCGTCAAGGTCCGCCTCGTCGTCGTCGTCCGGCTGCGGCTGTGGCGGTGCAGCGGTTTCGACCAGGAGGAACGGCGCGGGGATGCCGGCGTACCCGGGCGCGACGGCCTCCGAGTCCGCCATCCTGCGCATCTCCTTCCGCGCCCGCCGCCGCGCCGGCCTCTCCATATCCGCTTCCGTCAACTTTCTCGGCTGCGCATCTTGCGCGGCACTCGCGTCTCCGCTGGTCGCCAGTGCACGTGCTCTCTTCGCCCTCGAGCCGCAACCCCAGACCGAGAGATGTCTCCGAGTCGGCGTCGTGGCCCCGACTCGTGGGGGCACCCCATCAGTAAAAGTGCACAAAAGTCTTTCAGATCTTTAGTCTTTGGGGAGGGTCTTTGATCTTTATGGCAGGGTCTTTCTGATCTTAGGTCTTTGGTAGATGATCTTTGAGCTTTCCTGGTCAATCTTTGGTCTTTCCAGCTGGTCTTGGATCTTATTTATAAATTGTCTTAGTAATTTGGAAAAACAGGGTGATAAATTAAATATGAAAAGGAACTTGAGTATAGAAAATAAGCTAGTATGCAATTTCATGTGAGTGATGATCTGCATACTTATTTACATAATAAGCATTGAAACTGTCAAGTGACAGAGAAAAATGAAAATCAGTAGGTAGAGGATCTTGACCAAATATTGGAATGAGATGTGCTGCACGCACAATGGTGTCAAGATGGATGATGTCCATGATGCGGTCCCCAGCATCATCAAGGTCAGGTTGAACCATCCACATACCCACATCTGGACAAGACATATCATCCGTTGGTGAGAACCAAGTGACTAGAGCGCAGGGGTATTCGACATGGCGGTGGGTGAAGGACATGAAAAGTAGCACCCGGGCAGCAAGCAGACCACGGAAGCCCTCCTCATCGCTACCAGAGGCATAAACACAGTCAAATCGGGGTTCGGCACCACGCCATGACCGCACCGCCCGGATACGTTCCCGGAGAAGGCCTGCCGAGTTACAGACATCACTGGGTGCATGGAATGCGGCAATTGCTGAGGGAAAGACTTTGATGCGAGCCGGGACGTCTGGATATGAAAGGGGATCAACAAGATCAAGGTCGTCATCTGGAAATGTCTGGCCATGCAGAAAACGACGGATAAGGGATGGGAGCGTGGGAAAGCCAAGGAATTCGGAAAGGTGAAACGGGTCCTTGGGATATGTTCAGACTGCCCAGATGTCAGTTGAGTGTATATTACCAAAATGGTACGCACAATGACGCTTAGCCAATACAACAGTCGCCTCGACAGTATTTTCCATCTCTGGATTATCGTCATCATCTTCTGCTAGAAGATCAGGGCGAGTGGGGTTAAGGGTAGGAAGAACTGGATCGGGATCGGTCGGTCGGAGAAGTCCACGTTCCTCGAAATCGACTCGGGTTGCGGCAAGAGCGTCAAGGCGATTATTAATGGTGAGGATTTGCTCGATTGCTTCGAACTTGCTCGACCGGCGCCAGGGCTCCTTGACTGCCTTGATATGTTTCGACTCCGAATTGAAGAGCACAGTCCATTTGGGGCCGCAAACTCGGTGATCAAATAGGGATAGTGACTAAGCGAGTGCTGGCGTGGAAGTGAGAATCCATTGGGACAAACACCACTTTCCTCGAAAATAGTGCGCTCCTGATGATACCGGGCCAGGGCTGCCTCGATTTGGCGGCGTTTTGTGGTAATAGTGTTGCGACGGACAAGATAGCAAAAGTCAAGGAGCGCTCAGCGCTCGAAGCATCTGCGCAGGGACATACCCCTCGACAGCAGGCAGGTAGACCTAATCTCATTCAGTAACTAAGCTGGATCAATACTGCAAATTACCTTCATTAGAGCCTTTGAGTCATCTCCAGTCCACTGCTTGAATCCCCGTCCCTCGGGAAAACGACGAAGTCCAGGGAATGGTGGCACTGCTGCGATTCTATAATTTTATTTACTTAATTTCAAAAATAAATTCTGCAAAAGAACACAGACGACCGGTCAATATCAGCCATAATTTTACTTGCATATGCTTTGCCATGTTGAGCATCCAGATATTCGCCGACCCATGTCACGAGATGGTCCTTAAATGTCCCCTTGATGACTTGGTGAAGGAGGTCCGGTGAGAGCAGTTCATAGATGTCTGCACGTGGAAAGTCCCACGTATATGGCTAATCATAAGCGAGTAAATGAATGGGAAGGGAGAGGGCATACCAGCACATCCGGAATGATTCCGTAGTCATTCCAAAGTGTTTTGTGGTCAAAAGCGTCGAAAAGCGCTTCCGTATGTGCCTGTGTTCGTCTTCCACCAATACCGTCAAGATTCTTATTTGACGCGGTACATCTGCAAATATCTTGGTATCTAGATTGGCTGTAAACTTCGAGACACACCGAGCACACCACCCCTGGACAACACACGCCAGCAAAACTTGCTCAGGATAGTCTGCAATATACGGACCAAGACAGTAAATAACCCATCGATAGTGACCATCACCGACGAGCACGAGTTCGGGCGATATCATAGCTGGCTTTAGCGAGCTGAATATATGGTTCAGCGACGCATGAAACAACTGCCGTCGGAACGTCCGAAACTCTTTGCTCTGGTCATGCTCGCGGTCGGCTGCCAGACGATGAGAACTGAGAAGACGAGTTATGAAGTCAGTCTTACTTTTCGGAATAGCCAAGAATCCCAGAAGCGACATCGCATTCCGATGGGCTCGTCTCACTGTGTTCGGGGTCAGGCCATTACCCTCATAGAGCGGATAGAAGTCGTTCTGGCCCGTTGCGACCGAGGTCGTTGTCTTGTCACTCCCCCCAATGACGGGTACGATCACAGCGCCATGGTTTTGAGGATCTTTGGCCAATTCGTCCTAAACGCAAAGAATCAGAAGAGCAAGATAGGAAGATAAGGACCAACGAACCGCCTGCCGCCATGCCCACTGCCCCGACATAAAGTCTTGATATACCCGCCCTCCATCCGCATCGTAGACCTGTTTCGGCGCGTAGTCTAACTCGTTTTTGAAGTCGGGATTCCCCAGTTGACGATGCATAATCTTGCGGGCATCATGGTGGTAAACTCGATATGACTTTCGCTTCCATGATGGCGCGCCGGGGTTCGTTTGCATCAGGTCCATCGTAAGAGACGTCGAAGGCGAGCCACGGAATGTGGCCGGTCTCTGTCGCGTCGATTGTGTCGCACAAATCATCGTGGTCACGGAAATGCGAGAATCCCCCATCCTCGCGAGAAATCTCCATGAGCTCGTCAATCTCGCCTGCGGACATTTGGACCTTGCGATAGACGAAGTCCGCCATTCGAAATGCGCCGACTGTCTCATACGGTGATGTGTTATTCCTCGGAGGGAACTGTTTGTGCGGCTTGGTGGTGGGATCAACGAAGTTCCCCTCCTTATCGCATGGACGTCCTGCAGACATCGAGTCAACGACGGCAGGGAAATGAAGGGGGGAATCACCTGTTAATCCCAATTATCTCTTCTAATTAGAATGGACCACCCATGCGGGTGACCATTCTAATTAGAAGAGATAATATAAAAAGCCCTATGCTGCAATAAAGGGGGCTATAAAACTGCAATATCTCTGGGACCCTAGGCTCTAAGTCATTTCGTGCATTATCACACGAGGTCAGTGTGACATTTTGTGACTGGTAGATACTAAGGTATGGTAACTTAACAATAATCTTATATTGACCACTATAACCCCTGTCCTGCCTGTGTTTACCCCAAAACCAAGATGTGATACTGGTATGTGACAGTGGTATGTGACATGACATCCAAGGTTTCTTATATATCTCTATGTTATACTATACATATTGATGATCAATAGCTGGTTTCAACTCTGTATACTTCTGCTGTGTCATAGGAGGTCACAGGCGTGACATATCTCCTAAAAAGGAATTTTTGCAGTTCAACAGTGGAATCATCAGAGAATGTCACACATCGTCACAAAATCAAAGTTGTGTATTTTGACTATATAAACAACTTTCATTAAGTAACATATAGTGGCAGCTCAATAAATATATTAGCACTGGCCCATCACTAATTCATATATAACTGATAGACCTCTATCTTCATAGCTGCTTGAGCTAAGAGCATGAATTGAGAACTAGCAGGAAGGGTCTCAAAAGGACCATTGATTGATCAGGTATTTTGATTACTATCATATGATAGGATTACCATATTGACTATTCAGTTATTGCAAAGAGCATATTTGGTATTTTAAAAATGTAAGGTGGCCAACTTGTGAGTTTGGCTACTCCAACATAAGGCTCTGGTATGTATCCTCCTAAGTACCATCGAATGTGGCACCAAGAATGCAATGCATTCACTCATCAGTGGCCTTTGATCTCCATCACCTCTGAAAGATAAGCCCATATCTCCCGCTAGCCTTAGTGGATAAAGCTGGGAGAAGGTTCATTTGAAAGATATATCATCCTACTATCCTTGAGCCCCATCAGCCATGTTTTCTGTTATCATTACCTTCATTTATTCACTGCCAAGAATGCCTAAATACTCAGTAGAGCAGTGTTTTGCTGATATCCTGGGACTACATGCATGGAATGTCATGATCCAAGTTGATCTGGAGCCATAGGATGGTCTACCACATCTCTACCCATTTGTGACCCCACAGCAACTGTGAGGGTCAGTCAATTCCTTGAGACCTTAGGTGCCATATATCCTAGGATGGAGATAAGCTGACAGGGTGAGGGCACCATTTTCTGGGAGGTGCATAGTACCCCTATCTGTAGATGTACTCAAATCAATGAGATTCACCAAGGCCATACTATGGTGAACTCATCATTTTTGGGATAGATAACACTGATAATGGTACTGTGAGAGATCCACAATAGCTATGAAGTTGATTCAAGTACTGGACAGGTTCATTTAGGGGTCCATACAATCCTGCATTTATGTCTTAGATCATACTTGAAATTAATTTCTGACCAGTTGTAATAGCGAAGACACTCTCTTTTGCTCTATAGGTACCTACCCTCTCTTCAGCTACCTTCTGTAACACATGCCAGAACCACAATAGATTATAGTATGGGGTCCTACTAGATATCCAAATATCCTCATACATGCATCTCAATGTCCAGTACTCAGTCTATAGACCACAATTCATGTAAACTAGTTCTGCACTTAACTCATCTTGCAATGTTCACCCCAATGCATCCTCTGAGAGTATATAGAGATCAATCAGAGTATGTGGGTAGATTTATACACCTCATTTGCCAACTTTCACATATTTGATCTATAATCAACTAGCAGATTACAGCTGTATTGCTAATATGATGTGCAGTACTATTCATTATTAGAATGGGAAATAACAAGATTTTTCATGCATATAATGTGGTGTGAAAAGTGTAATCTTATAGGGGGACCCCTTCTCATGCTTCCTACCCTTATACCATTGGGTATCCCTCACTTCTAATTCAGTTATTGGAAGATTGGTGTGTTAGGATATATGTCATATATAGAGGTAAATATGATAGGTAAAATTATAAGGAGCTCCCATATCTATGATGGCCATCTATTAGAACGGAGCACAACTTGAATTAGGCTTATCCGTGGATTTTCCAGTAAGATATCAAGTAATCATTGAGTCTGATCAAATTTGAAACATGAAAAACTAGAGAAACACAGTGTAATATCATAGTCTCAAGATATAGGACCATGCTTACATCAGAGCATATGAGCACTAAGTTATGACCTACCTACCAGTACGAGAATCATCTGACTTAATGCAGGATTGGTGGAGATATTACAGCATCAATGTAGGTAATAAATTATCATGAAACGATATAGCTATACTAATAACATTTAATTGTCCAGGATATCGATCTTATCATTTAGGCACCCCTGGTATTGCTTCAATTACCTATAAAAGTCATCTACTGAGTGAGATATCACTGGATTAGATATAGATCAGCTATTAATTAGCCAGTGCTAGCACAATTATTCAGCTGTAAGTATAGGTCACTTAATGAAAGTTGTTTGTATAGTCAAAATATACAACTTTGATTTTGTGACGATCTGTGACATCCTCAGATGATCATACAGTCAAACAGTGAAAATTTCCCTTTTGGGAAATTTGTCACACTAGGTCACATATATCATAAGTGTTGTATCCTGGAGGTTTGATATTATTATTATTCATACCAGAATATACTTATATGATAGCTTCTTTGTAATGTGACATACCAGTGTCACATCTTATTGTCTCAGTAAACCTGGCAGTTCATAGTGGGTACCAGGCTACACAGGTGTTATTATTGCTAATATGAGATCACGATCAATAGTATCATGCCAGTCACAAATGTCACAAAATGTCACACTGACCTTGTGCGATAACACATGAAATGACTTAGAGCCTGGGGTCCCAGAGATATTGCAGTTTTATAGCCCCCTTTATTGCAGCATAGGGCTTTTTATATTATCTCTTCTAATTAGAATGGTCACCCGCATGGGTGGTCCATTCTAATTAGAAGAGATAATTGGGATTAACAGGTGGGGGGAATATGATTCACATACCATTGAGATGAGGATGATAATCGACGCGTACACCAGGCTTGTGACTCGCATCGGCATTCGCGTTGAGCTGGGCGTCGTCTAGCGATTCGAATGGCACTCCTGCTTCTGGTAGCTCGGAGCCAAAGCGTAGAGGCGTAGGCGGAGAAGGCGATCGAGGCTTGCGGACACCCAGATGGATTGCGTTAACATGGTTGGTTCGCCCAGATGATTTTTTGAAGAGCTGCTTGCAGCCTTGCTGCCAGTAAGGGCACCGAAGCATCGGAGGAGATGACGGTGCTGAGTGAGCGAAGAGACAATTTCGTCCAAGTCAATCCGGGGATAGTCGCCCCGAATGCCCGGTCTCCGTAACTTCACGGATGAGCTGTGCACTCGCCAAGCTTGAGCCACGGCCTCCAATCACCGCAAGCAGAATGCGTCATTCGGAGGTCGATGTCTAGCCAGCTGCCGCCGCCGCGCCGTCAACAACGTTAAGCGTTCATAGTAGCGCTCACTGTGAAGACACAGGACACGGCACAATGAACGCTGTCAGACTGCGGGTCGGGCCGTGCAAGGACTTCTCCTAAGAACGCGCGCCCGGAACAGAACAGACGAATAGTCGGGCCCGCAAGTATGGCGGGCGGGGTAGATCGAAACCGAAAGGGCCCGTGAACTCGGTCCCTTGCCGTAGTCGGTGGTCGAAGGTTCGAATCGGGTCGTATCGGGCCCGATGAGTCGATAGCGTCTCCTCGCACAGAGTAAGGTAGTTCTTCAGACGATCTAAGCGATAGAGTACAGGGTACACTATCGCGCATTATATACGCGGGCCCGCAAAGGGGGTGATCGGACACCCTGGCCTCTCCTCCTCCTCCTCGCTCCCGTTCCTGGCCGCAGAGGGGACGATCGCACATCCCTTGCGGGCCAGGCGCTACTCCTGACCTCCTAGCACTCCTCCCCATTCCCCTGGTGTCGAGTTGGGCTCGGCGACGGCTCGACGCGTCGTTCTCGGTCACGTGCTTCCCACGTGTGCGTTCCTCCTACTGGGGCGCATGTTCCCCGTCGTCACGTGCTGCGTGTTGCGGGCCCGCAATGGCCCGACACCAGCACCGGAGCGGACGGGCCGGGTCTTATCCGTGACAAACGCTTCATGGCTGAACGAGCGAGCAAACGGGTGAGCCTGCGCCACGACTGCGGATGATCGCCAGCACCATGCTGATGGGCCCCTGCAGACTTGTTAGAATGCTCATCCCTTCGCCCTTTTGCCGCCACTTTCTTCCTCTCCTCCATGCTGAACGTCCCACCGCCTGGACGGCGCTATGGCACGCGCACAACCAACCAGGAAACCCGCCCAGCTATCAAGGCCGGGCTCGTTCAGCGAAAATCCGACCCCTCGTCGTACAAGGGAGGAGATCGATCGGCGGCGGAGGCCGCCGCCCGCCGGCAGCAAGAGGCAAAGGAGCGAGAGCAACAGGCCAACGTCGACCGGGTTGCAGCCTTGGAGGACAGCATCCGGCTAGAAGACACAGTAAGCAGCATGATATATGGAACCAGACCACTTACCATATGAAGGCCCGCCGTACTGCTGCGAGAAACCCTGCCGGTCCAAAGACCGCTCCACGAAAACCCAAGACGACCACTTCTTCTGTCGAATCTATTCCCCCGTCTCCTGCGATTGAAACGACGGA